GGGGCCCCAGCTGGGCTCGCCGCCTCCCCCCGGCGCTCCAGCCAGTCGGGGAGAGCGGGGCCGCGGCGGGCTCGCCACCCTCCCCCTGGCGCTCCAGCCAGTCGGGGAGAGCGGGGCCGCGGCGGGCTCGCCACCCTCTCCACGGTGCTCTGGCTGCCGGGGGAGAGCGGAGAGCCCCGGCCGGGCTCGCCGCTCTCCTCCCGGTGTTCTGGCCGCCGGGGAGAGCGGAGAGCCCCGGCTGGGCTCGCCGCCCTCCTCCCGGCGTTCTGGGCCACTGGGGAGAGCCCGGCCGGGGCTCCTCCGCCCTGCTCCCGGCGCTCTGGCCGCTGGGGAGAGCGGAGCTGCGGCGGGCTCGCTGCCCTCCCCCCGGCACTCCGGCCGGTCGGGGATTGCGGGCCCGCGGCCGGGCTCGGCGCCCTCTCCTGCCGCACTGGGGGGCGGCGGGTGGCTTTTTTGCCTAAGGCGGCAAAAAAGCCAGAGCCGGCCCTGTCTCCCAGTGCCTGACCTCTTGCATCACAACGTCCACTGCCCCGTGTGACTAATGGGAGGTTGGTGTCCTGCTGGGCTGTGGTCTCACTGGTCAGCTCCCAGTGCACCATCGCATCCAAACCTGGCCCCCCCAGTCCAGCCTGTTGCCTAGACATGAAGCCCCAGCTTACACATGGTGCTGATCCAGACGCGGGTGTTTGTCCTTTCGTTGCTTTCTCATCATATTGCCCAGGATGTTACTTTCCATTCTGGTTTCTAGTCATGTCGCTTACGGCACGACTGGAAGGTGCTCCAGTATTACAGCGCTGAGGAGAATGGAGACTAGACTAGCCTGTGATAAATGGAGCATGTAGTTTTGCGAATAAACATACTGAATTTAGTTCAGATCCGGAAAGTTCCCCAAATTTGTACCAAAAGTTCATTTGTTGTTGTTGTTGCTGTTCTCCTGTTTCAAACAGAGTTGAATTGAGGAAGCGGATGCAATATCACGTGAGCTGGGTAACCAATCATACAACAGCAATCGAAACGAGGGATACTCAGTGTGACCCGTTTACAAACAGTTACTGTCTGCTGAAAGTAACTGGATGAAACTTCCTGGGGAATCCTCAGAAATGATGAAGCTGGTTGCAGAAACCAGGGCCGTCTCCTGAGCCATTTGGAGCCCAAGAAAGGGACTCCTGTCAGGTGGGTTATTTTTTGAAAGGTATATTGGGATCAGCTCCATTTCTGTGCTTCCTTTACCTGTGGTTTGTCCGTGTGTTGTGCTGTGATTGTGGGGTTCCCCATCCCTGTCTAGAGCTTTTGGGGGCCATTCTGTGGTAGAGGAAAGCTGGGGTGTCCAAAGAAATTCCATGGGCATTGGGTACCTACCTACACCCTGGCCTCCCAACAGTTCCAGATGTCGCAGAACCATCCTGCTTAGACCCCCCCCCAGCTCCTCTGTCCCAGCTGAAGTAACATTTCCTGCACTCCGGCCTGGATTAACCAATCCGCACCCAGTGCACTTGCACAGGGCCCATGTTCAGGGGGCCTGCGACCACCAGATTTGGGTGGGAGGTGGTGTGATGGCCAATCCTGAGTGGTGCTATGACCCCATATGCCAGATCACAATGCCACTCACTCAGATCTGGTCTGGCTGCCCCTCCGGGTGGGGCAGGTGATGGGAGCAAGTGGAGCTGCTGGGTCGGACATAGAAGAAAATTATCTTGAATGCATATGTATCAGAGTTATCAGTGACTCAGAAACAGGTAATGCCATTTTTGACATGGAGTGCCCCTCCCCCTCACTTTTTGCCCACTTGATCCTTCCTAAATAGGTTATAACCATTGATTTTAACATTCCAGTGGTGCAAATCATCCCACCCAGCTTTCAGTAATAGCAGCTAGAGGGAACTGAAGCACATGAATGAGCAATTCAAATTCCTCTGGTTTGCTACCCAGGCTCCAAGCATCAGTGTATAGGCAAGTCAATATTCTGACTCAGTTTGCTCTCACTGTCTTTGTTTATGGTGTGACAGTTCTCGGGGTGCCCAGGACTGTGAGTCACCTAGTTACCTCCTTGCCTCTAGCGAGACTTGCTTGTGTTTAACTGGGCGTCAGTTCCCTGACAACATCAGCATGTGTGCCACCCAAACACTCTCCTCTGGGTAATGCCAGACCTTACTATGCCTTGCGGGTTAACAATCAACATACCCCTTTAAACATTCCCCAATAGTGTCCAGCCTCTACTCCACTGAATACTCAGAGAAATACCAGGCCAGCTGTTCCCCAGGGACTAGTGAGCATCCCAGCTTGTATGAGTCACTCAGGATCAGCTCCTTGTATAACATCGCAGCGCTGAGATAGATTTATAGTGAAGACAGCCCTAAGTTTATTATGAAACATTTGAGATTCAAGAGATAGTGAGTAAGGATAGTGGAAACACCCACATATCTTCTGCAGTGTTTCAACCACGGTTGTGATCCTGTTTTTATGAGTGTAAATGCCCCATCCGATTACTTCTGAGGTGCAGGATGGAGGGCTGCCTTCCCTCATATCCCCCAATGGTTATTGTCTGTTTCCTGAGTCAGGATAATCCTCCGTAGCTTATTCTCCAGTGTGCTGCCTCCCTGTTGATTTCACATCACTGCCGTTGATGCTGTATGCAAAGGGACCTCCATGGTGCCAACTTACAATGCTTAGTTTACATGGCTGACCGAAAGACAGGTGAATAAACACCTTTTGTCTGGCAGAAACCGGTTTGTTCTGTATCTGTAGATAACTCCTTACATAGTATCTGTCACAACATTAATGGCCAGCATAACCCCAGCTTTCATTTGAGACCTCAACCACATTCTGTGGTGAACCAGCATGTACAGACAGAGATCAGGGCATTTCTGTAACCCCCTTGCCAGCAGGCATTGGGGGCTTCTCAGGGTCACATACAGGAATAGGTCTGAGCCAGACACACAGCCCCGAACAGCCCCAATGTTGTGTGTGTGAGAGTGGGTGCAGGCATATGTGCCTGTGTATATAAGCAGGTATTTGCATATATGTGTGTGCGTCTGTGTAGGTGTGTATCTACTCCACCAGGTCCCAGCCCAGGGCCCTAACAGTGGCAGATGGTTCCACCACTGGGTCAGCGGAGATCCCACCAAAACACACCAACTCGTTTTCTGGCAGCACAACCAGACTAAAGCCTGGTTTCCCTGGGCTACTTCCGTCTGGGAGCAGGGCTCCTTAGTCCAAGGGTCCACCATCTCCTCAGGGTACACGGCTGGAGGCAGTCCTGGCAACTCCTCTTCGTGGACGGTCTCCTCCGGGGGCAGAGTGTTGCACAGTGCAATTTTGGCTCCAGAGTTCTGCAGCAGGCTGGAGACATCTACTTTCTTCACAGGCTCCAACTCGACTGAGCTGCAGGGCCTGCCTTTTATACTTCTTGCCATGCCCCTTTGCTTCGGCATAGGCGGCGGGGCTGGTTTGGCTCCACCCACCAGGGGAAGTGGCGTGGTCCCTCTCCGTCAGGCTCAGATGGAGGCCACTCTGCCTCACTACAAGAGGTCTTGTTTAAAAAAAATAGCATTTATTTTAAAGTTGAAAGTGTATTGATTAAACATAAGAAATTAAAAGAGGTTTTTATACTGAAATAGAATAAAAATCATTAATAGGTTTGAATGAAATTTGTTTTGCATAATCACTTTGTTTTATTTTGGGAGGCAAAATCTTAAAGGTTTTTATGTTATTAACAACTTTTTGTGATGAACAGGAAAGAGTTAATTTTCCTGCCAGTCCTGATGTCTCTTGTTTCTAATACCCAGACTGACACAAGGTGGAAGAGATACAGGATAGAGAAGGTGGGGGCAGCAGGGCTTTCGGGGATGTTGTTGGAGTGCTGGGCTGTTACAAATGGACACTCTGGCTGTCGGGTCAACTACGACACCTACTGCTTGGACCCTGGTTCGTGTCCCAACCAGGGATGTTCTTAGGTTGGTTTTCCGTTTTTTTTTAAGACAGGGCAGGACTGTGGTCCTCTCATCTGGCTGTGCTGATGCAGTGCAGTTGATTTCAGGAGATGCTGAAAAGGCAAGAGAGTGAGAGAGAGGTTGGGAGGAAGGAAGGTGGGGGGCAGAAAGTAACCCAAGGGAAGGGAGGCAGAACAGGCTCTCAGCGTCTCTGCAGTGCTGGCACTTAGGGTCCCCCAGTGGGTGAGAACTGGATACCATGATCATATGATGACTCTTACAGCTCACAGGTGAAAAACCAAGTTCCTTGAAGAAGAGCAAGGCCTGTTGGCATTCTTCTCTGGAAGAAAGTCCTCTGGCCTATTGCTCCTTCTATCCGGAGTCAGGGAAGATGAAGCAGGAGAAGATGAGCTGGGATGCACTGGGAAGACGAGAAAAGATGTTTTTTTTCACAGTCTCCTTGTTAAGAACCTCCAAAAAGGACCAACCACATAGTTCATCCCCTGGCTACTTTGTCCAGTACCGCTGGTTGGAAAATGGGTATTGTTTAGCAGAACATTTTGACAAAAATGAAAAAAAAAACTGTTTGTCAAAATTGCTCATAGAAAATATTTGTCTCTCATATGGTGGGACCAACATAGCTACACACAACCCTGCAAACAACATGGGAAATGTTGGCTTTTCAGCAAAAAAATGAATGCCCACATTTTTTATTTGCAAATACCACTGCAGTGGCTCATGGGAGTTGTAGTTCCTGCATTCTCCTCTATGGGCTAGGCTCCCCAGCCAGACTACATCTCTCATATGGCACTGTGATCTCTGCTCATGGTTTGTCACCGGAGTGCATCATGGGAGTGCGGTAGCCATGGTGCATAGTGCCATGTTCTTGTACTTCTCACTGCTCAGGTGTGCAATGTGGCTCATGCTCAGCATTTCTGACCTTGTGCTGTGTGGTATTACGACACACTTTCCATTGTACAGAATCCCAGCACACAAAACAGTCTCCTAGCGTGCTATGCCTAGAGGTGCCTGCCTGTGTCTTGCACCATCCATCCAGAATGACTCCCTAAGAGAGGGTCATTTTGGGGTTCATGGTTGAGCTGGTTCCATTCTGTTTCAGAGATGGGCAGCACTTGGGTCAGATCAAATCAGACAGGACTAAGGAATCTGAATTAAAAACATTTATAACTGGACACTCACAGTGCATGTTTTGGGAGATGTTAGTGTGTGGGGGTGACAGGTCAGAGGTGGGGAGATGAAGGTGGAGAGAAAGTACTAAGGTGGAGAGAAAATGGTCTAGTGCATGATGGGCAAAGGAGAGCTTCATAGACGCTAAGGCCAGAAGGATCCATTCTGATCACTCAGGGTACGCCTACACTGCAATTACACACCCGTGGCTGGCCCGTGATAGCTGACTCAGGCTTGTGGGGCTCAGGCTAAGGGGCTGTGTAATGGCTGAGCTAAAGCAGGCATTTTAGTGAGCCACCCCATCTAAGCGCGGTCAGATATATTGCTAGCTAGATGACGCTAAGGTTAGCAGCATCCATTCAGTGAGCTCTGCTGAGGGCTGGAAGCCCTCAGAGCCCTGCTCTCTGCTTTGCTTCCAGCTCTGCGAGCAGTGAGCAGGGTTACTGCTTTGGCTCAAGAGGTAGCAGTGTGTGCTGGGGTGATGAAGAGCTGGGTGTGAACCCCTTGGATGGCACAGGGAGGGGCAGCAAGAGGGGGATGGGGCCATCAACCGTGATGGAATTTCTTGGGGGTTTCAGTTTAGTTTTATTTTACAAATCTAGGAAATTTCCCCCAAAGAACTATGTTAAAAACAGTCCGGCCCCAACCACTGCTTCCAGGGAGGTCTGGCTGTGCTGCAGCCCCCAGTTCAGCCCCTGATTGAGAGCCCCAGGGGGCTTCATTTGCCCCATTTCTGACATAGGTAAAATTTTCTTCTGATCCCCGGGAATAAAGGGGTGACACACAGAGTGCTGGGAAGAGACAGAGCTGTATGCCCTGGCCCCAGTCACACAGCAAGGTCAATCGCTCCATCCCAGGACCAACGAGGCCCATCTCCGTGGGGCCCCAGGTGCACAGTCAGCTCCCCGGGGAGCTGCACTGCAGCGGGACCCCAGTTCAGCAAGGCAGTGGATTGTGCACTCAGCTACCAGCAGCCAGTGAGTGGGGCTGCTCCCGTGCTGAGGCCCTTTGCGAGGTCGGGGGAAGAGAAGGGGACCATGGAGCAGCATAATCACAAAGGGCCAGAGGGCACAGTGAAGGCCCCGGGTTGGTGCTGCCGGGCAGTGAGGGCTCATATTGCCACCCTCTGGAAGCATGATGCCACCCACAGCCTCCCTGGATGCAGGCTGAGCGGGCGCATGGCATTGCCATTCAGGAGGTGTAGGACGAGCCCTGCCCTGCAGTGCCATGGCCCAGCTCCTGCCCAACCCTGTCCAGGAGAGGGCAGGCTGCACTCGCCTGTGCCAGGGGTGCACAGGGACGAGAGTGGCCCTTTGTACCTGGCCCTCCTGGTGGGAGCTGCCCGGTCGTCAGTCAGAGCTACCAGAACCCTGCAGGGAAGGGCAAGAGGCAGCGTCCAGCCCTGGGGACAGCCTTGGGGTCACTGTGAAGACCAAGCCCCTAGCACCTGCCCCTGAATGATGCAGGAGACCAGTCACATCTGGGAGCGACAGCTGTTTGGGGCTCTCAAGGGCCTCATGCTTCAGGTCCTCAGCTGGCAGGGAGCCAGCAGGGGCTGTGAGCAGCTGTGCTCTTAAAGCGCCAGGCTGCTCCTTGAAGCTTTCGAATTCTTCCCACAGCCCTGGAATACATCACCTAGGTAACCAGTCTTAACCAGCCCGCCTGCCTTCACCCCAGCAGAGCATTTACAGGCAGAATCCTTGCAGGGAGAACAGCAGCGTTTTCCACCACGTAAGTGATTTCTGAATCCTTCCTAGCAGGCCGGTGGGGCTGGTGGGAGAGGTCCCTGCGGAGACGGGGCGCTGTGTCGGTTGCATGTTAATTACATAGATGGGGACTGGCATGGTACCCAGGCGGCTTTCTCTATCCTTTGCGTCTAGCCGGAGGAGACAGGAGTGGTGTATGGCTGGGTTTCAGGGCTGGGAGGGAGGCAGTGTAGATCCAGGCAGCAGCATAGGCTTAGGGCTGGGAAATTATGTTGACACATTCAAGGGTTCGGTAGGTGAAGTTTGGAGGAACTGCGGCACCATTGCCTCACAAGGATTGAAGGGAATTGCCTCTCTCCAAGAGCAAGCTGCTTTTGCAACAACACACAGGGGCACAAGATGATTCGGAAATAGCCCACAGCAGAATTTTGCTTTCTCTTTCTATTGTATTGGCTGGTGTTTTCACAGTGCCACTCCATGGGATTATAAACATGGCTCTGTCAAACTTCTCTGTGCATGGGTGTCCTGCACACTCTGCTCTCAGCCTCCGCCCTTGCAGAGCTCAGAGACACAAAGAGCTGGGGATGTTGGAAATTGATCAGATGAACCTGGATTTTCCTTCTCAGTGGCAGTCCACTGAGACACCGGCTGGCTGGTATTTCTGCTATCCATGGCAGACTGCATCTCTGAGCAGCAGCCACTTTGCTACAGGCAATGAAATTGGTGCTATTTGCCCCTTCTTAGCCAAAGGTTCAACCCCTCCCCCATTTAATGGTTCTGGGATGCAGGACTGCGGCATAGGCTGGTGTGTGAGGCTCACTCAGGCTCTGTACGCCTAGCTGATGAAATGCAGAATGCCGACAGACATCTGCACATGGGCTTTGTGTGTTTGCGCAGGAAAAGGCATTCACTTTGCTCGACTTCTACCTCTTCCCCACTGCAATAACACCCACTGGTGCTCTGTCCCCCCACCAGAATGGCTAAGGCTGGAGAGCATTTTCATCGCTTCATGTCGTTATCGGCGAACCATGATTCCTATTTTTAGGCACTCTGCTTCCCTGCCCCTCCTTTCACTAGTGTGGTGGGTCTCAGAAATAACCCGAGCCTCGTTTGCGTCATGGGCGTGGGGCTGGGCCTTACTCACACAGCTGATGTAGGAGGTTCGGCTGAAGCAGCAGATCTAGCTTGTTTCCACCCAGTCACTCACAAAGGAGTCAGTATGAGAGGTGTTGAGCCCAGGCTGTCAGCCCAAAGCAAGGTTTCCAGGAACTCTGGCTCTGTTCTGTTCCTTCACAGCCATTGTGTTAGGTTTGGACAAGTGCTTTCGTAGCATCAACTGGGAAAAAACAAGCAAGCATTGTACAGCCAGCATTATCGCAGGTGCATGGAACTCTAGCATTATAACCACCACTCTCGGGGTCCCCCAGCAGTCGTGTTCTGTCCCCATTCTCACTGGCTTAGCATTGGAAGTGGGCCAGTAAGTGTTTCCCAAGTGCTTTAGAGAGCACCACCTGTATGTCTTCCAGAAGACAGATGTCACATACAGGTGGATACAAACCTTTAACGTATTCATGAGATTTTGGAAAATCCTTTGGCCTGGCCAGAGGCTCCATGATCCAGGGTGTGTTGGATAACGGTGCGTCACTGCTCACCTCTGAGCGGCCTGCGCAGGCTGGCCGATCAGATACCTTGACACGCCAGGCCCCCTTTCGCCGGGAGCCACCACAGTCAGCATTATTCACGAGCATGTTCTATGCACAGTGACTGTTGTCTGTCGTGATGGAAAGGATGCCCCGAGGCCAGGCCTTTCCTGCTGGCACAGTT